CGTTTTACCGTTTACTAGAAACACGTAACCTTTCCAAATTGCACAACTTCGAACCGCACCAAAGCAAACAACAACAATCGCGACATGACAGACGAAACAAAACAAGAGGATGAGCGACGCTGCTAAGTGCTGCGCTCTAGCGGTGAGTCGGGAGTGAACCCTGTGGCAGCGAAGGCGCCTGCTGCTTCACGCCGGGGGTTGGGTTTTAGTAGGTTTTAGGCTTGTGGCATGCACGTCACAGAATTTAACGCCCCCCCCCCCCTCAACGTAACGAACACAGCACATACACGCACGGGCGTGTCGATGTGACGCACGCCAGCCGGTGCCGATGCGAACCCGACAACGACAACTTGACACTGACGCCACGCGCATGCGCACTGCCAGCGCAGTGCGCAGTACGCAGCAGCAGACGACAAGGGCTTATTGGTACCACAAAACTAACTGCAAACAGTTCCAACATGGCGATGAGGACAGTAATGTTTTCGTTGATTTAAATATTTGAAGTGAAATAATCTGGTGGACAATGTCGATTAATACTGTTTCCAGCTTTGACAATCAAGGCAATATTACACTGCCCTTGAGCATGTGTGCCCAGACAGGAAAACTACATTGTTGTAACTTTTGTGCAGTGATAAAATGAGCTCATGCTATTGGTTAGGACAATTGATAATTTGTGAAGATCAGCAGGCATCTGGTACTTATTTCCCACTCTTCAACCGATTGTCAACTCTCAGACTGAATCTTTTTGAGGTGAGTGAAACTGTTTAGGCTCAATCATACAGCTATGTGTGACCGAAGTACAGCCAAGTCATTTAAAACTAAGCTGCCAACACATATGTGTCCACCAAACAGTTAGTGAGGTAGTGATAACTTTGAGATCATTGTGGGGGGTGGGAATATGATAGCTCTAGTGAAACATTTCAATTTAAAGAAAAGAGAAAGTTGCTCGTGATTAGAACAATATGCACCTGATGTCTCCCATACTTAGGACTAGACATTGAAATTTTATTGTGAACTTTTATTTGTTTCTCCGTATTTGTGCAAGTCTTATACCTGGTATGAGATATTGTGTGATGACTTGTGAAAAAATTCTTGCAATGATTTTACGAAATCTTTCGTAAACTTAAAATATGTTTTGTATATTTACGAACTAGTTCGTACTTCCACATCTTTAGTTTTTAAATTTACGAGTAAAGTTGTACTTGTACGAATCCCAATCATAGGGTTTGGTTTACGACAAAAATAATTTCCACAGATTACAATTCATGTTGTAGGTTTACGATATTTCTCATGGAAAATTTTCCCGTACCCAGTACGAACATTTCTCACAGTGCCGAGGGTGAAGTGCATGGGCGGAGCTGCTTGTGGGGCTCCGCAGATAGGCAAGACGAACCATTTTCAAACTGAGTGATGGATCGGTAATCGCTTTCGGACATTGACGAAGATCATCACACCATACCATGCAATCGAGTGTGCACCACTGCGCCGAGTTGAGGGGGCATCTCGTGGGCAGCAACACAGGTCTCTGTAGTCGCATAAATAATTTAAAAGAAAAGTACTGAAACTGATGCCGACCTCTTAAGTGGTGGCATGGTTCTTACGCCTTCTTTTCGTTTGTAGACTAAGGGATCATCCACAAAGTACGTCCGGTTATCACACCCTGAGCTCCCCTTGTAAATCACCCAAGATAGGTCACCGAGGTTCGGGAGTCACGAGACTCGTTGTGAAAAGCGTAGTTGGCCGCTCTTGTCGGGCGGGCCCGGTGGGCCTGGCGCCTAGCTGGGGACGGGGGCGCAGACCTGCAGACGCAGCGATGCGGCGGCACAGGTGCTTCGTGGTTGAAGGGACTTTTCCAAGGACACAATTATTGAAAGGGTTGGTGGTATGGGTGGGAGGGGGGGAGGGGCAGCTGAAGCAGAAAAATCTTCCTTTCCGGCTGCACCCACTCCCTAGGCCTGGCCGTATACCTCCGGCCTACCGGAGGCGCACTCATGACGCACTCAAAGCGAACAAGGTTCACAAAACGTCACATCCGCGCACGTCAGCGAACATTTGGTGAAGTGCGCGGCGGCAGCGGCGGGTACGCTTGGGGTTACCACGACGAACCTAAAGCTACCTGAAAGCTAACTAATCATTTCGCGTTGGGTTGTGAGTTTCCGTTCAGAGACCCGCATCATTCGCGTGGCTCGGGACTAGGTCCGTTAGATGTTAGATCAGGAGTCGCAAACTCAAGATAGCAAAAACAGAGACGATGGATTAAGGTCCAGCGACGGTAGGTAACTCAACGCTCCCGGCGCTTTTTGTATCTTTCGGGGGCGGGGCGGTCGCCTTACCCGCGTTTACCAGTGAACATAGGCGGTGCCCGGTGCTGAAATGTGTTTGCAAACCCGGCACCTTCTCTGCTGAACAACGCCTATTGTTCACTGGTGAAGATGTGCTCCCACAATACGCCCCAAGTCTGTTTCCTGTGGCAAACGCCTAACTTGAGCGTACTCTCAGATCACGAGATGATTCTGTTACATCTAAACAATTTTCATCTAAAGCAGACTGACAGCATTCATCTAAAGAGCATTTCTCGTCTAAATTTAAAAATTTGCACTTTTTCTATAAAATAAAGTTACTTTTCATCTAAAGCAGGAAAATGTCTTATTCTTCCTCAACTTCACTACCTCAACGAGTCGCGCACATCGGCTGCAATCACTCGGTACGGCACCGATATCCGAGTGCACCGAAAGGTAAGACTCAACACCAGCGACACTAAAAGGCTTCTCCCACATGTGCCGTGGCACACAGCCAGATACGCACTTCAACGTGTGTTCCTCGCCCTCTGTGACCTTCACACATGTGAGCGAACCAAGGCTTCTCCCAGTGTGTGGTGTAATGACAATGCAGTGGTCACTCGCGCGCTCCCTCGTGTGTGCCCCGTCTTCACATGCACACATGTGTGTGACTCAAGGCTTCTCCCAGTGTGTGGTGTAATGACAATGCAGTGGTCACTCGCGCGCTCCCTCGTGTGTTTCTCGTCCTCACATATGCACACATAGGGCTCGAGCCGGGGCCCTCCCTGCTAGGGCCTCCTGCGGCCTCTCTGCCCCTGCGAGGTGACGGGCAAGCTGGTGGCGCACTCGTCGTTGCTGAACGTAATTCCGATCTCATCCTGCGCTGCTCCTCGGGCTCTTCGCTTGATGTTCTTCCTCCCTTGTGAGCCGTGGCCGCATACGCTACGCAGCCGGTAGCGGTGGGGCACACCGAGGCGTGGTTGATCGCGTGGCGCGACGGTTATTGGGTGATACTTGTCTGTCATTGTCACTTCACACGGCGTGAAGCAAGGTGCGGCTGGGGTGCGGCCACGCGGCCCCGAGTTTAGGCAGACTAGACTAAGTTCACACTTTCCCTCTCCGATACCTCAGTGCAAGACCCGATTAGTTTTTGGGACCTCCAAAAGACCAGAGTCTCCCGCGGAGGGGTCGAAAGAAAAGCTTAGTTGTCGGGACGCTCTGAAGACCCGATCAACTAACTTTTAGCGAACTTACAGGAGACGCAAAAGAAAGCTCTCGGACAAATCAGACGTTCCAGATACAGTTTTCGCGAAACCGGGAAACGAATCTGCGTACATTTCTCTGTCGATTGGTGAAAAAAAAGATCGGAATATTTGATTTTTTGCACAGGTTTACCGGCTTATTCGAAGCGTGTGTAACTCCGCTACAATTGGCTAGTAATCGGAGCGTCCCGACAACTAAGCTTTTCTTTCGACCCCTCCGCGGGAGACTCTGGTCTTTTGGAGGTCCCAAAAACTAATCGGGTCTTGCACTGAGGTATCGTCTCCCCCTCTCGCTTGTATACTCCTATGCTGCCCATGCTTTGAAAGGTTTGGACACTATGCCGATCCCACTATACCACCCGGTGTTTCGACCGCTACGCCGGCTGCCTCTCCGCTCCGGCGCGCGGCGGCCTGTCGTGGCACGGCGCCGCCGTTCGCTCGGATCCACACTTGCCAGATCACCTATCGCAGCCAACGTACAGGACAAGGCTGGTTCGCTCCGTCTCTCTCGCACCTGTGCAGGTACCTCCCTCCGCGCTCCCTGCCCATCACCCTTCTCGCGGTGAATATAGGCAGATCCCACTCAGTAAACTAAAATACCAGAAACTGGTACAAAACTCCTCAGAATTCGGTGGTAAAAGATTCTGTTTCGGCGAGACTCGGAAACCGGCTCTCTTGCACAGAAATCGGTGTCTTCTACCGTTTCCTGAACACGGCTTCCTATTTACACAGTCACCCGGTTTTCGGTGTTGATTTCGGAAACCGAGAGTAGCCCACCGATTTCCGGACAGAAACTGCTCGGAATCTTTTACCCCCAGTTTCCGGTGTTTTTCGCCCCAATCATCTACCGGTTTCTGGTGTTTAATTTTACTGAGCAGCATGCGCGGGATGCTAGACAGCGCGTCGAGCAGAGCATCGCGGATTACATCTGCAAGGTCATATACTAGGGCTAGAGAACGCGGTGACGTCACTGTCCAGGCTGCTACCGCAGAAATAGCTGTGAGGAGAGGGATCGTCCTGAGCGAACAACCTAGTGTTTTCAAAATCATTCAGCGAATTACGAGAGCTGGTTGCTGTAGTTGCCTGCAATACCCGGGGTAGGCCAACCCGCCGTACACGCATGCTCTCGAGGAATGATGATGCCTACTTATCCGGCGCTCTCAGCGCACACAGCACAGGCTTCACTTGGCGAATCAAGGAGGGAGTACTTTGTGGATAATTCCTCACGCACCGACAGCGGCTGGTCCTCCGCAACTACCCCGTTGCGGTTGGCCGAGGCCCAAGCGAAATGCTTAATTGAATACGTATAGCTCCAGTTAAGAATCGGTCATTTCCACACTAGCGCGGCGCACGCTCGGGCAAGGAGCAGGGTGCGGGGTGGCAGCTGCGCGGCGCTCGGATGCCGAACACCAACCCGATCACTCGTGCGGGGACAGCGGGGAGTGGCGGTAGGAAGAGAGTACGGCGGTCATTATTGTCGGTTGCTGGGTTGCGTGAGTCACCGTTCTCAACGTGCACCGTCGTGCGCTTCGCGCTTCGCACCCGCGTCCTGCTTGCGGGTGTGCCCGCGGGCCGCGAGATAACGATGGCGAATAATCGGCCCCACCGTCCGGCAGGTCGAGCGCCTTCAATAACGCGCGGAGAAGCCATATATTACGTGGAGGTAGGTAGTTGTGGCGCCGCGGCCCGGCCGCGGCCCCCTGGTTTCAACTGGCTGAGTATATAATAGGGGTGTTTCTGTCGTGTTGGCAGGCCCAGCTGAATGCGGCCCACTATGCAATGAGTAACGCGGAGGAAACAGTGAACATGCAGCGCGCCGTCCTTTATTACCTGCGTTCCCTACGTAAGCATGTTGTTGTCGTGTCTTCTCGTTTGTTCCTGTCGAGTGGAATTTTTGAGATGGTGCTGCCGGCAGGCGCTGAAGGTGCCGCCCCCTTGCTGGCTGCCGACCCCGACCCTGGCGCCCCTGGCCCTCACGGGGGTGCTCCGCGGCCCGGTGGCGCCCGCAGCCTGGGTGTGCGTCCCTCGCCGGTGGCTCAGGCCGGAGCCGCCGCAGCCGCAGGTGGTCGTGTGCGAGGCGGTGCCGGTCCCGGTGCTGCAGATGGTCGTCGTGCACGCCGTGGGCCGGCCGGTTTCGTAGCGTCCACGCCTGCCGGGGCCTCTGCAGAAGCCGAAATGTTGGGCTTCGGCCGGGGCGCAACTGGCCGGCACCTCCACTGTCTGCACTATTTCTACTGGTAGCATGGTAGTAGCTACCAAAGCGGCGCGCCCGGTCTTTTGGGGTAGCACTGAGTTATGAAGTTACGCGGTTCCCCTCCATTTTTCTGATACGATTTTAGTTTCAATAAATTTGATGTCTCTGCTGTCCGCAGGCCTCTTTTTAGTTGAGTCCTACCTTCGTCGCGTGAGGTATCCATTATGCAGCTTGTCTGTTTTGCTCCGTTCGTTTTGTTGCTTATATACTGTACCGCAATGCGGGCGGGCTGGCCGGCTTGCCTATCGTGTCGCTCAGCACGGCGCCGTCGGCCCCATGCGAGTATGCAACCCGTCCGCACACCTGCATGCGGTACAGTATAAGCAACAAAAACAACGGGGCAAAAACAGACACACTGTACGCCAAGTGCGTAGTCACTGAAGGTAATCCACTTGCCAGCGCGTCGGTTACTCTCATTTCCTTACGGAAGCGCTTATAGTTAATTTAGTGCCGACGTAATATGGATGACAAATCGTTTGTAATGTGGACGAAATCGTACGTAATATGGATGATTTCACAGAAACATGCACAGAAACGATCTTTAACCGTTGAAGTGGTTGGGGATGGTTCGGGGGCGTGACCTTGTCGGAGCCGTATACTCGACGTGCTCACGGTGTAGCAGCGTCTTCCTGGCAGCCGATAGTTCTCTGCTCTAAGCCCAGGTTCACAGCTAAAGTTAGAGTCGGACGCTGATGGACCGAGGAAATGGCTTGTCGCAAACTTCAAAAAAATAAATCCCCAGGGGCAAAGAACGCAAACCAACCGAACCGTGTCGGGGATCACACAACAAGTGTGCCTAAACGATATCGTTATCGCTACTGGGTCTAGGGCAACTCTCGTCCCGATTGACTCGTACCCGCCCCAATACGTCCCCACCTTCTGTCGTCCCAATTTTTAAAAAGTGCATTAGTTTTTAAAATTCTGTATTCAAAGTACTAAAGGGTTATCTATAAAGTTCGTGATTACTGCTAAGATATTGCCCAGTCAAGCCTTCGTGAAGCTCCCAGAGCGCCTGTTAGGTAGGCAATAACTAGTCGGTGGTGCATGTGTGTACCACGGGATGGCCTACCCGGAGTTTCGCAGGCGCCAGTTCCTGTAATTTGCTGAATCCAACACAGAAAAACGGACTATTTACTAGATTGTCCCTAAAATTCATCTAACTATGTGAACTAAAGAGTTGCGGTTTTTAAAAATAAGTCAAATGGCTCGCAAATAGGCGTGGAATCACATCAGATCCCCCTACCGTCCGCTGCTATGTGGCTGCAACATTGAAAACGGGACGTGTTGGGCACCTCGCGGTGGACCGAGTTCAAAAGATACATTGGGACGAGAGAGGCTTGGGGCCATTGGAACTGTGGACGAGTTGGTCGGGACAATTTGTCCTGCTCCCATCCTTACTCTATCTAGTGTGGTTGTTACCATTCCATATACTGACAGAAGTTATGCTTTAAATTGGTGTGTCGTTTTTAAGACCTGTGCGCAACTGGCGTAGAACTTGGTGGAATCTGACACAATATCATCCAACTCATTTCAATCTCAAGGCATATGATAATTCCTCTCCTTGTGTTGAATCTAACCCTGTAAAACAATAAATATTGTCTCAGAGAAAGCCTCTGATCCAATTAAACGTATTATAGCCTTCAAGAAGCTTGTTCTGTCCTACAAACTCTCTTTTATCAGTCTTCTAAAACTTCCTCGCACATTAAGAGTAAGTTAAACAGTTGGTACTTAGATTACAATTGCAATGAAATAAAGTATGTTTAGTGATTAACAGTAGGTTAGTGTTCTTACTGACAAACTGTTATTAAAAAAATAAAATAACTGTCTTAGTTCTTAGTGTTTACTCATGCTCAAAGTTGAATATAAAGATCCACATTCACAGGTCACAAAAGATGTTCAATCTTTGTACCTACAGCCATAAGCAAATTTCTCACAGCGAATTCAGTGCTAAATGATGGTTTAACAACGTTATACAGCAAATTCATGAAGTAAGACTGATCAAGTAGGGGCACCTGTCTCCCTCGTCTACTAATACTTATGTTATCCAATTCTGCATAAATATCCTCATCTGCTTTAGATGTTACAGATACAATGCTTCCTGTGTGTAAAAAGATTTCGATGATTAGTTGAAAATTTTATCTTACAGTTGATTGCAAGTCAAAGTATTTGGAAATTTATCACTCACTGACTATGGAATAAAAACCACTACTACATGATCTTCTAATTTCTCGATTAACCCTTGATCTTAAGAATTCACTGTAAGTGGGAAAAAAGTTAAATGAAAGAAAAGCATTTTAGTAGAAAGGAATCAGAGATCGTTTAGTAGACATACCAGCAATAATCTGTCCTCTCATTGTTGTCGTACATTGAAAACTTTACACAAGGGTTCTTTAACCAGCTTTCTTCAATGTGCTGAAAAAATGGAACAGCTTGATGGTAGACTGCTTCACCAAACAGTAATGCTTCCTGAATAATGACATCAATTCCAATTTTTGTTTTATCAGGTGGCAGCAGAGGAAGGCCGCAGCATAATTTCACAATGTGTGCAAGTGCTACATTGTCTTTTAAAGTATCCTGCATGCCTTGAACAGACATTATATCCTGAAAAGTATAGAATATGTTAGTTCACAGTTGTGCTTGTTCTAACATTTATTTAGGAGGGATTGCAAAATAGCTCACATTTAAGAAGTCGTACAGTGAGGGGCTGAGTTGAACAGAGAACACACATGAAAAAGCATACCCAGCTTTATCTGCAGCAGCTATGACAGATGAAAACTGATATTCAGATAACTTTGATTTCAGTAGTTGAAATCCAGCATAAAAAGCTTCATACGTGTATTTCTCTAATAAAATCCACGCAAATGGAATTGCCTAAACAGTTTCAACAAAACATCAAAGTGCAAACATTAACATGAATCATAAGGAAAATTTGGCTGAACAATAAAAGACAACACCTACATTGCCTTTGCTGTAACCAGCAACAACACACATCTGCCAGAACAACAGGTATAAAAAGTAGTCAGTATTACAGCTAAACAATTGATGCAGTAAATATGAATCATTAATAATAAAAAGATGCCAATGTATTCCTATTACCTCACATTGTTGGCAACCGGGTACAGTAGGCCATTCCAAAAAAATTAATTTGTCGGGGTTCGGGTCTGAAACGATAGATTTTGTCCAGAAGTAACCTTTGGTCTTGGTCTGAACTCTCTGCTACGAAGCGCCAGTGAGCTGATTGCTCTGTTCGAAACGCACTTTTTGGGCGCCCGATGCGAGGCGTCATGTTTGATCGCTCGGCATGCGCACCCCGCGGTGCCGCCAGGAGTGGCTCACTGCCGAGGTAGTTCCATATGACCCCTACTTCCATCTCGACCACTGCAATCCGCTGCCGGCCGGTCCCCGTCACCTGCAGGGGCATAAATGCCGCGAAATACGGCACTCAAATTTGGCGGAAAAATATCCATTTCAGTGGGTGATTTTTTCGTGCCCTTATGTCGGGCAGGATGTGCCCTTTTCATCGCCCTATAGCATGCGACTAACACTCATCAGGTTTAGGCGTGAAATTAAAAAGATGTGAATCCGCCTGCCAAGTAGGCAGCCTCAATGCATGCGTGTATTGCTAGTGCCTACTTGGCAGGCGGATTCACATCTTTTTAATTTCACGCCTAAACCCGATGAGTGTTAGTCGCATGCTATACGGCGATGAAAAGGGCACATCCTGCCCGACATAAGGGCACGAAAAAATCACCCACTCAAATGGATATTTTTCCGCCAAATTTGAGTGCCGTATTTCGCGGCATTTATGCCCCTGCAGGTGACGGGGACCGGCCGGCAGCGGATTTTAGTGATCGAGATGGAAGTAGGGGTCATATGGAACTACCTCGGCAGTGAGCCACTCCTGGCGGCACCGCGGGGTGCGCATGCCGAGCGATCAAACATGACGCCTCGCATCGGGCGCCCAAAAAGTGCGTTTCGAACAGAGCAATCAGCTCACTGGCGCTTCGTCGCAGAGAGTTCGGACTAAGACCAAAGTTTACTTCTTGTCAAAATCTATCGTTTTAGGGCCGAACCTCGACAACTTTTTACTTTGGCCTTCAATTTGGAATAGGCTAATGTCTGTGTTTGCATTGGTATTTTCATTAACAGTTAAATTTTTCCTTTCAGTTATTAATTCCCTATCGTAACAATGGGAATCTAACACGCCGTCAGAGGACACACAATTATTACTTATCTAGATGTAGATCAATTATTGAAAGGGCGTTCGCTCTATTGAAGGGCAAATGGAGACGCCTAAAATTCTTCCCAAACTACTGTCTGGAATACTTGATTGACAGCATAACAGCCTGTGTTGTCCTACACAACTTCATGATTTTAGAGGGGGAAGCATATGAGGTTTGTTTCCAGAAGTAGCCGCTGTTATTGCAGTGTACATAACAAACTTCTGCTGACTTAGTTTTTTTTCCCGGCAGGATGAGGAAGGAGAAGACATTTGGCAAGGCAATGACCTAATGCCTCATTTGAATGAAAGGCAACTTGAGGACCATGCTAAAGCTGAGGGATTGTTGAAAAGGGATTATATTGCAGCCATTCTTGATCCTAGATTTGATCATGACAATCTTGTATAAGTTCCATGTAAATCGTTGTTCCCCTTCTTGTATATTTTTAAGTGTTTCATGCAAGTCATGATGTTCACTTATCATGATCATGAGGTTTTCTGCTTCCAAACACAAGAGAAAGTATGAAATATGTACTTGTTTTAATTACGAGATTCGTTGCAAGGTGGTGTCAAAACATTTAAAGAAAGTTAGTTAATCATGGCCCAGAAAGTTTCAGGTAGCCACATAAATGTTACAAAAAATAAAATTAATGTTGATTGAACAGCACAAGAAACCTGGTTTGTTCTGAAAACCAAACTAACATTCAAAATGACAAAGAAAGATTCATTCCTTTATAATTTCAAACTAGACATAAAGTGGAATAAAACTTCAGAAGGTAGCGTACACTTGAGAGCTGCAAAAAAATATTTGCTTTGTATAGCCAGTTTATGTCATACCAGGGGACATTGAAGAGAATTTTAAGGAATCTTTAACAAATGTAAGCAATTACAAAA